CTGCTCATCCCTCCTCATGGGGAGTGCCATGCCACTGGATGGATGGCAGTACCAGGCCTGTGTCTGATGGGGTGAGCCGGGTGTGGAAGCCATCAGGAGGGAAAGGAGCTGCCCTTTGCTCCACTATCTGGCCTCTCATGCCCCTGTTGAGTCAACCGAGTCTGCAGTGTAACCCTTGGCCAGCCTTGCGCCTTATGACTGGGCAAGGGCAAAGGCCAGGGCCAGTAGGGCTTGGCATCACATCCAGTCCAGGCTCAGCTGCTACGGGTGGCAGGGGCATAGAGCTGTCGTCCTGTGGGACAGGGTGTCAGGTGTGGGTAGGTGGCAGGTCCCCAACACCCCTTCCCCAAAACTCCATTTCCTCTCAGTACCCAATCCTGCCGACTACCCCCTTCTCTCCTGCTCATCCCTCCTCATGGGGAGTGCCATGCCACTGGATGGATGGCAGTACCAGGCCTGTGTCTGATGGGGTGAGCCGGGTGTGGAAGCCATCAGGAGGGAAAGGAGCTGCCCTTTGCTCCACTATCTGGCCTCTCATGCCCCTGTTGAGTCAACCGAGTCTGCAGTGTAACCCTTGGCCAGCCTTGCGCCTTATGACTGGGCAAGGGCAAAGGCCAGGGCCAGTAGGGCTTGGCATCACATCCAGTCCAGGCTCAGCTGCTACGGGTGGCAGGGGCATAGAGCTGTCGTCCTGTGGGACAGGGTGTCAGGTGTGGGTAGGTGGCAGGTCCCCAACACCCCTTGCCCAATATGGGGATCCAGAGCTGGACCTGCCACACCTGCTCCTTTGGGGTTCCAGGCTGAATGACCTCAAGCATCCTGGGGAGGTCAGGATGGCAGCCTCTCCTCAAGGAAAAACTGAAGCCCCAGGACCCAGAAAGTAGGAGTCCAGAAAAGGTGGTGAGAGAGAGGGACAGCCAGTGGGCCCCAAGGTGGGGGCTGGCCACACCCCCTCTAGAACTTCAAAGCCCTGGGGTGTGAGATTTGTAGGAGGCTGGGCTGAGGGGAGCCCTGGTGGGGTGGAGCCCCACAACCTCCGGGCCTTTTATATGGTTATTCCTGTCCTGTCTCAACTACCTGTGAACAGGCCCACCAGGCCCATTTCCTCCTCCTCCAGGGTGGGCAGGAGGGGGCTGTAAACTCCCTGGAGAGGCGGCTTCTAAGGGCTTGGCCTGGCAGCCCCACAGGCTCTGAATGGGTGGCTTGAGGGGGGGGGGCGAGTTAGGGCTCATGGGGAGTTGCTGAACTCTTAGCAGGTGAGAGGGGCTGGGCTAGGCTCCAGAAGGGGCACCGGATGGAGCAACTCAGGTCAGCAAAGCTCTGTGGATGCCCTCATTCCACCCTCATTTGCATAGAAGGGAAACTGAGGCCCAGAGAGTGGGGGAGGGGGCTTAATTCTTGGCAGAGTGAGTAGAGGGTTTTGTCGCCTATTGCTCCACCCTGCCTGTAAACCATGGTCCATGGGCTATAGAAGACCCCATTCTTCAGATATATAACTAACCTTCTTCTTATAGGTTCTGTACTTTATCTACCTTGGGGGCCACAGTGGTGGGTATGGGGGCCATCCCCATAGTGGTCTCTCATACCGTGATCCCTCATACCAGACCTACAAGGGAGCCTCAGGACCCTTCACTTACATGCCAGAACCTTCTGGATCCCTGGCATGCTGTGTGTCCTTAGGCCAGTGCCTCCCCTTTTCAGGGCCCCAGCAGTGAAGACAGAGCCTGAATACTGACGACCTTCCAGTCCTGCCACTCCAAGGTTTCAGGGGTCTTTGTGCCAGACAGGCATGTCCCATCTCTGCTTCAAACCACTCAAGGTGACCCCTTCTTATGTTTGACCTGTAGGCTCTGTTTCCCAGGGCTGCTCTGTAGTCTCTCTTGGCATCATGCCCCTGCTGTACTCTGACTCCTCAGGTCCCTGAAATATAGTGGCCATGCCCAAACCCCCAACTTCCCTCTCTGTCTGCCCTGCCGCCTCCTGGTCGGGTCAGTCCCTTTCATCTGTAGTGCCCCTGGCACTGGGGCCCCAGCAGGTGCCAATTAGGACTGCTGCTGCCAGGGCACTGACTCAGAGGTGCTGCACACTCATGGGATGGGGCTGACTGAGGACTCCTGTGGGGTGCCTGTCACTTCCCCCAGAGCTGACCCCTTTATGGCTGTTGTCCAGGGTGGCCTGGCAAGTTGAATGAGCTTAGTGCTGCCCCCATAACTGTGGTGATTCACCCCCGTGGGGAGTGGGGGAATGGGTCTCTGTCCTTGGACCTCTTCTGGGCCTGCATCCTTAGTTACCTGCTCTCCCTTTATGAACACCAGCTCCTCTGACCCCAGCGGACCTCTGTGGTTCTATCTGGCAATTCCTTAGTGCTCCTGCCTGGTGATGGCTCAGAGTTGGGCCTAAGAAGTGGTTGACTTGGCTAGCTTGGTGGGCATGCAGCAGTCCCCAAGTCCCCCCCCAACCCCCCCGAATGAGGCTATGCACTTGGAAGTGACATTGGAGTGACAGCCTGTCTTCCAGGGTTCAGGGGGTGCTGATGTAGGATTTCTACAGGCAAGAGGGAAGGGCACCAGGGATCCAGAGCCATGGATATAGTCCCTTCTGAGCCCTCTCAGGCTGAGATCAGCTCTTCCCTTCGGTGGCCAGGGGCTCTAGCAATGCACTCACTCCTTAAGACCACTACCCAGCTAGCTACCCCCTGCGCATTGTCCCCTGTTGGACCTTGCCTTCTTAACCATTCTAGAATAGGGAGCCTCCGTTTTGTGAGGATCTACATGCCTAATGAGGGTAGGAAAGGGAGAAGAGAAAAGGCACAGACCACCAGGCAATCCTTTTGCCCAGATTCATTCCCTGCCCCGTGTCCTGCACCCCGTCCAGGTCCCCTGCCCCATGTCCCTGACCTTTGTCCACATTCCCTTCCATAGGTCCCTTACCTCTGTCTCCACCCCTTTCCCTATGACCTGCACCCCTGTCCACATTGCCTGCCCTGGCTATTTCCTGCGAGAGAGTGGCTCTTCTTTTCTACACCTGGTGGGACACTGTGATGGTGCTCAGCATTCTGATGATGTGCCCAAGGAGGCTCCAGTCATTCAGTGTGGTGGACAGAGAGATCCCAAGGTTATGAGGAACAGGAATTCCTGGTGGGGCCAGGTTGGAGCTGTGCTACAGGGAGGTGACAGGGCCTGGAGCGGTGGGGGACAAAGGGAATGGGAGGTGAGGCCACAGGTAGGGGTAGTAGGTGGCTGGGAGCATGTCACCAGAGTAGGTGCCTATCTCCTACCCTGAGATCCTAGAGATCCTTACAGATTTCCCACTGGAGGAAATGTGGGAACCAGTGGGTAGACTGGGCCTCCCATGTATGCTTTGGAAGGTATAGGCAGTTTCCAGTACAACCCTTGCCATAAACACAGCAAGCAGGTGCTCTGACTTGCAAATGGTGTCCAGCAAGGTGTTGTGCTGGTCCAGCTCTGCAAGGCACCCTGAGAGAGGTGTGTGGGAGAGGTCAGTAGTAGCTTCAGACCTCTTCTCCTCAGCCTAAGTCACTCAGTGCCACCATAACCTACACCCTCTCCATGGGACAACAGTGTGACTGACAGCATCAGGGACATTGTATTGCCAATGGTCTTGGAGGGGAGGTTGTAGAGAGGACTTGCCTCTGCCCCCAGCCCACTTCCTACACCCTGGGTCAGTCCTTTACACAGCACATGGAGCCTGAGGGTTTGGCTCCCATCTCTTCCATTCTTGGCTGCTCACTGGGTCCTGGGAGGGATCTGAGGAAGCTCATGTCATGCCAAGCCACCTCAGTGCCTGCCCTCCTTCCTAAGCCCAGGGGTGACTGCATTCTGGCTTCCATCCCTCCACTTCCAACGGGAAAGCCAGGTGGGTTTTCCAGTTCAAAGGCTCATGGTGAATCATTACCATGGACCTAATGGACACCAGGTAGGACCTTGAGGCCTCCTTTTGCCCTTCTCCCTTCCAACTGACTGCAAATAGCCCATTCAAAGTAGTTTTTACTGCCCCAGGTTCTAGTTAGATATCAGGGCAGGGCCCAGAGGTGGGAACAGGGAAGGAAGTTGGGCAAAGGAGAGGAGACGGGAACAGGGACCCTGGGTGGGGCTTGGATAGGTCAAAGAGTAACCTTAGAAGAGCCCCCAGCTCTTGCAAACAGTTTCCAGAGAGACACATAGCACCCTGAGTAAGTATGATTTGCTTATCCTAGGAGCTGTCTCTGGTCAAGGCTCCAGGCCACCTGAGAAGGCAAATCAGGAGGCTCCTGAAAGCTGGTCACCCATGTTCATAGCTCCAGGAGGGTCCTGCCCACAGGTGAGGATCTGAAGGAGACTCCTGGTGGCCAGCTTCATCCTGAGGACCTGAGACTGCTGCTGGGATTTAGCTCAGCCAATACTTAGAGGGCACTAGCAACCAGGCCATTGTCCCCAAACTCAGAGAGCCCATACCGTTCATAGCTGGGGTTTGGATATCAGCTGAGGGAACCATGTTCTTGAATGGAGACATTTGGAGAAGTAACTTGGTTGACATCCCTGCTACACTACTGCCTTGCATGGGATCTTGGCCAAGCCCCCCACTTGGGGCCTCTGTACCTGATCTTCTGTCTACCACTCTATCAGAGGCTTCTGCTGGGCCTCTAATTTATCTCGCTCCAGGCCTTGGTACCCTTGGCTGTTCTCTCCTTTCCTTGGCTGTCCCTTATCCTCCCTCCCCCCCTGGAATTCTGGCTTTGGAGGCCACCTCCAGTGGCCCTCTTCTTGAATCCTCCTCCTCAGATCCAGCCTCTGAACTGGCATCTTCTCTACTTCCCAACACCAAGCCTACCCATCACCAAAAATTCAGCACAAACCACAGATTTATTTAATTTCTTTTTTTTCTTTTACTTTACCCATTGTTTGAAACTCACAAGCTATGCCTAAAATAATTTCTTTCATAGAAAGAAAAGGAAAAAAACAACAACACATCCATTCATCTAACTCCAGTGTATGGTGGATATAGCAGCATTGGAAATAAAATTAAAACCAAAAATACAAAATTCAAGGCGGGGGGATGTCCATGTCTCCTCTTCTGGGCTCTTAGGCATCCCATCTGGCCATGTCTCCTTCCTCTGCCTGGAGGGTAAGAGAGGATTCACAGTGGCAAAGGCTGAGGATGCTTTCAGCAGGGTGGCCCATGGATACAGGCTGGATGGGTCCAGAGGTCTCTCGTACTCAGGCCTGGTGGATGAGTCAGAAGGTGAGGGCCTAGTGGCCACACAAAGGCTCTGAAACAATGGCCAGTGGCAGGAAGGCTGTGGGTCCTCCATCGGCAACATGGTTGTATGCTTCTGCCCCTACAAACTTCCAGACAACCCAAAATGAGGCCAGTGGTTTCTGGCAGCTTTAGAGGGGCTGCCGATGGGGGTAGGCAGAGGAAGGTGTTGAGGCCAGGAGGAGGTGGGGAAAAGATAGGACAGGGGGCTTCCTCTTTTTTCCTGTCACTGGGATGGTGGGGGGATTCGAGGACAGGGAAGGGGGGCAGGCAACTGCAAAGGAGAGGGCACAGCTGACGACGTTGAGAGCTGGGACCAGCCAGGGAATTGCAGAAACATTTCCTGGGAAGAGCCTAGGATGTCCAATGCCAGGCCAGAGACAGGTCTCAGAGGGAAGGGGTCAAGGAAGCCCTAGGATTCCAGCCCCTCCTCAGCTTCCATCCACAACATTTTCTCCCAGGACAGAGATCTGTTCCTAGGGTTGAAGATGGGGGAAGCTGCAGGTTCTCCTCTGTACAGTTCTTGTTCAGGTGAGTGGACAAGTCTTAGGCTGAAGGATGGATGTCACAGGCCTCTGTGTGCCTGAATCAATCCACAGTGCCCGGCTTAGAGGGGTCCCCAAATCCCAGAGGCACAGGGATGGAGAGGTGAACCTTCTTGGTTGAATCTTGAGAGCCTCTCCCCACTCAGGATTCCTGTCCCGAAGCAGAAGTTTCGCTCCCATTGAAGCCCCACTCATCCAGGAAGAAGCCTACTCCCAGATAAGAACCCCGCACCATCCAGGAGCCCCACTCTGTCCAGGTAGGAGCCCCTTACCCAGTTAGAAGCCCCATCCCAAGATTAGAGTCACACTAGCAGAGGAGCCCTGGGCGGTCCAGTTAGGAGCTCCACCTTACCCCTTGGGTACCCTGGCCTAATCTTAATCCCTGCGCCTAAGAAGAGCCCCACCCTCTGGGAGGAGCCCACCCCAAACCCTCGCATCCAGAGCTTCATCCCCATTCGTAGGGGGCTTTCCCGGGATAGGAAGGAGTTCTGCTCCATCCAGGCAGAAGCCCCGCCTCACCTTGGAGCCCCGCCTCCATCAGGAGGAGCTCCGCCCCTAGAGAAGAGCTCACACGGGAGCTCGCTCCATCCTGAGCCCCGCCCCACTGGGAGGAACCCTGACTCTTTCTTAGGGAGGAGCTCCACTCCCTGTTAGGAGCCCCACCCCAGAGCTGGAGTCCTGCCCCATCCAGGGAGGAGGCCTGCCCTGTCCAGGGAAAAGCCTCACCCTGCCGTCACCCGAGCGAGTCGTCACCGCTGCCTACTTGCAGGTGTGCACGTCGTAGACGCGCGCGCACTCTTGGCAGCTGACGTAGCAGCACCAGTGGAAGACGCAGTGGCACTTCTCCCTGCGCCGCTCAGTGCGCGCGTTGTGGCCCCGGCCGCAGCACAGCAGGTCGCAGCCGTCGATGCCGTGCGAGCTCACGTTGCAGGTGCGGTCGCGCGTGCCGAAGGAGCCTGTCTCCGGGTTGGGCTCGCAGAAGTTGGGCGAGGCTTCGTAGTAGACCAGGTCGCGCTCTGTGGGCACCTTGAAGTAGGTGTAGCGTGGCCGCAGGGTCTCCACCCAGCCGCGCGACTCTCGGTGTTTCTCGACCACCATCTCTGAGGCGCTGTCGTACTTGTCCTTGAGGAAGTCGCCGATGGCGCGGAAGTCGGGCTGCGACCACCAGCAGGTCTTCACCTCGCAGCTGCCTGACAACCCGTGGCACTTACACTTGAGATGCATGTGGCTGGCAATGGCCTGTGGGAACAAGAGCGCGAGCAAGCATCAGGGCAGCCCTCTGGTGCGACTGGTGGTGGTGGGGAGGTGTTGCTGCTCCTTGCCTGAAGCCCACCTATTTCACCCCGTTCCCCCAGCCCTGACTCCCAGGCAGAGCAAAAGTCCTTTCTGTGGGACCCCAGTGTCACCCCTTTCCTCTGGATCAGTGCCATCTCCCCACCCAGACCCAAGGCCTCTGGAGGGCAGAGCCTGGAAGGCTCCTCTCTCTTTATAAGGTGCTTGCCATAGGGCATGTGTGCTTGCAGGATACAGAGAGATACAGAGAGAGGAAAAGTGAGAAATCACCCCCCAGGTGGGGATGGCCAAAATCTCTTCTCCTCTATTCTCTCTGGATTTTGGGCAGGTACACACAAACAACTGGAGTGATTTTCAAGCTGCCAGGTCGGGAACTCGAACTGCCCTCGGCCATGTGGAAATCCAGTGCCTTAACCACCATGCTACCTGCTGGATCCTGCTCCTCTCTTTATCTGTCGGCCGAGGCTAAGTTTACTACTATGATGGAGTGAAGGAAGGAAGGGATGTGAGAACATACAGTAAAAGTGGAGAATAGGGCTGAGAGTGTGGGGATACAGGAGGGAAGATACTCATTCGGACCGGGAGTACTAGGAATGCTGCCCAGAGGTGGCGCATATGAGCTGGATGGGAAAGCAGGAGGGCCTGACTATGGGTAGTGGGAGTGGCCCAGGATGATAGTCTTTTTATGGGGATTTTTTTTTTTTTTTAAGGTTTTTGCCACAGGGTGAATGCCCTCGCTGGACAGAGGCAGTGAGTGGGAAAGTGAGAAATCATCTCCCAGGGACGATGGTTACTCTACAACCTCTTCTCCATTTTCCTCCTGGGATTTTGGGCATGTATGCACAGCGCCTGGTGTGAATTTTCTAGCCTCCAGATCTGGGACTTGAATGGTGGTCGCCCATGTGGGAGTCTAGTGCCTTAACCACTATACCACCTGCTAGACTCCTTACAGGGACTTTTTTTTTTTTTTTTTTAAGATTTTTGCCATAGGGTGTGTGCATTCACCAGACACACACACACACACACACACGGAATATGAGAAATTGCCTCCCAGGAAGGATGGCCACTCCACGATCTCTTCTCCATTCTCTTATGATTTTGGGCATGCATGCTCACATACCAGGTATGATTTTCAAGGCACCAGGTCTGGGACTTGAACTGTTGTCAGCAATGTGGGAGTCTGGTGACCCATTAGGCTAACTGCTGGTTCCCTTGATGGGCACTTTTAAGGAGTGGAAAGAGGAGGAAGGTGGCAGTGTGGGAGGCCTTGGGGACCTGAGAATGACAGGCAGAGCTTGGTTCAGGAGCATATGTTTTCAATAATAGCAGTGAAGAACTTGGGCCAGCCAGTGGCCTGGTGGTTAAGGCAAACAGATCCCACATGACCCACTGGGCAGTTTGTGTCCCAGATCAGCAGCTTGAAAATCACACCGGGCTCGTGGGCATGCATGCCCCAAATCCCAAAAGGAGATTGGAGGAGAGGGGATTGTGGCGTGGCTCACCCCCCGGGGGGATGATTTCTCACTTTCCCTCTCTGCCTCTCTCTTTCCTTGGCAAGTATACACACCCTATAGAAAAAAAACAAAGAAGAGTGTAATGAGGGACCAGCAGGTGGCTTGGTGGTTAAGGTGCTGGACACTCCCTCATGTCCGACCATGGTTTGAGTTTTGGGCCTGGTGGCTTGCTTTCCCACTTTCCTTTTCTCTCTGTTTCTATCTCTGGTTAAATTAAAATAAATGAATTAAGAAATAAAATTAAATAAATAATCCTTTTTTAAAAAGTGTAATGAGGAAACTCAGCTTTTCTTCTTTTCCCTTTTTCCTTTTTTTTTTTTTTTTTTTTTGAGGAGGTTTTTGCTATAGGGCACGTGCGCTCGCCAGACAGACAGAAAGACAGAGAGACAGAAAGCAAGAAATCACCCCCCCAGGGGAGATGGCCATGCTGCAGTCCTTTCTCCTCCAGTCTTCTCTCGGCATCTTGGGCATGCATGCACACGCGCCCAGTGTCAGTTTTAAGCCACCGGGTCCAGGACACGAACTGCGGTCGACTACATGGGAGTCCAGCGACATAGCCATTACACTAACTGCTGGTCCCTCTTCCCTTTTTTCTTTAAGGGAAGAGATGAGAATAGGGGCGAAGGGGCATATAATAGTCAGAACTGTCTATGTGGCAGGGTCCATTGTGGTAGCCATTGGCCACATGTGAGCTCCTGAGATGTAGCTAGTCCAGATTGAGGTGTGATGTACTGTAAGTGCAAACCACACACTGGATTTTCAAGACTGTGTAAGAAAAAGATGTAAAATATCTAATTTACAATTTTAATATTGATTACAGTATTGAAATAGCATGCTGGTATAGTTGTTCCTTGGCATCTGCAAGAGATTGATCCCAGGACTGTTGGCATATACCAAAATGCCAGCACATTTGCTCAAGTTTCTTACATGAAATGATGTAATATTTGCATATAACCTATGCACATCCTCCCATGAGAGAGAGACCCTTCACAGAGTCTTGCTCGACTGCAATCTTCCCTGAACCTCGCAATCAGCCAGGATCACAGGTGGCAAAATGTGTGTTCAGGTGGACCCAGGATGCTAACTTGGGTCTCCCATGTAGTTCGTTTTGTGCAGCTGAGCCCTACCACCTGTGTCACTGGGGCTGGGTCTTCTCCTATGTACTTTATTTTATTTTTTAAAATTTTCTTATTTCTTTATTTCTTCTAAGACAGAGATCCCCAATAGGGTGATTCACTCTATAATTGATCCACAGCATCAGCCAGTCAAGACTGGGGACACAGTTGTGTGTGCTTGGCATGTATGTGGGACCTTCCCTTGTGGTTTCAGCATTACGGAGTGTTGCTTTACCACTGTACCACTGTGGCTGGTCCTAATGTATGCTTTATTTTTTATTTTTATTTTTTAAAGTTTTATTATTTTTTTAACCTTAGGGCATGTGTACTTGCCAGAGAGAGACAGAGACAGTAAGAGGAAAGTAAGAAATCACCCCCCAGGGTGGATGGCCATGCCACAATCCCTTCTCCTCTATTCTCCTCCTGGGGTCTTGGGCGCACGTGCACACACACACACACATACCTGGTGTGATTTTCAATTCACTGAGTCTGGGATTCAAACTGTGGTCAGCCATGTGAGAATACAGTGACATAACCACTATACCATCTGCCAGCCCCCCCTACTGTATACTTTAAATCATCTCTAGATTATCTGTAAAACCTAATATAATGTAAATCAATGTTATATTGTATTGCTTTTTAAAATTTGTATTATTTTTAAACCATTGTGCTATTTTTTTTTTCTTCAAACATTTTTCAACATTGGGTTGGTTTGACCAACCCAGTGGACACAGAAGCCATGGCTACAGAGGACCAACTGTATACTGGGTTAAATGAAATTTAGTATTAAAAATGATTTTTCTGAGGCTAGCAGGTAGCATGGTGGTTAAGGTGCTGGACTCCCACATATTTGACCATGGTTCCAGTCCTGGACTCAGCAGCTTGAAAATCATACCAGGTGTATGTGCTCAAAATCCCAGAAGGAGAATGGAAGAGAAGGGACTGCAGTGGGGCCATTCCCCTGGGCGGGTGATTTCTCACTTTCCCTTTCTCTGTCTTTTTCTGTTTCTCTTTAGTTAGTGCATGTATGCTATGGCAAAAACCTTTAAAAAAAAAAAAAGATTTTCCCTGTTAACTCTTTAGATGTGTTTACTAGGACTGGCTCTGCGGTGTAGCAGTAACGTGCTGCTCAAGACGATAGATCCTGCATGGTAACCTCAGTTCAATTCCCTGGCCCGGTCAGCCTGAAACACACCAGGCACATGCAGGAGTGCCCAAAATCCAATGGATTGGAGGTCTGGAGGAAGGCATTGCAGTATGACTAGACCCTGTGAAGGATATTCCTCTCTCTCTCTCATTTGCATTCTCATGTGTGTGCCTACGCTCTCTATTATGAATAAAGAAAAGAGAAGAATATAGCAAAAAAAAAATCTTGCTACTAGAAAATTTATAATTACCTATGTGGCACCTAGTTATTGCTCCCATTATAACGCTCTTGGACAGTGCTGGTATAAGGCTTCAACTGGACTCCGAGTCCAGATCTTGACTCCTCTTTGTCCCCCTCTTTTAGTTTTTTTTTTTTTTCCCCTGAATGCAGCTCCATTGTTGTTGTTTGTTACCAGATCTTGACTCCTCCTTGTCCCCCTCTTTTAGTTTTTTTTTTTTTCCCTGAATGCAGCTCCATTGTTGTTGTTTGTTATTTACTGACTGTTTCTTAAACCTCTCTGTCTCATATGTACTCTTTTCCATGGTCATCTTTTCCCGTAGGCATGGGCATCACTGAGTAACAAACCCCACTCTGCTCATTCCAACTTGACTAATATTCATTTTCTTCTCTCTTCTCTTTTGTGGACAGGTTCTTCTTCTTCTTCTTCCTCCTCCTCCTCCTCCTCCTCCTCCATCTTCTTCTTTTAAATTGTTATAGGGTGTGTGCACTCACCAGAAAGAGAGAAAGTGAGAAAGCGGCCTCTAGAGGGGATGGTCATGCCATAATCCCTTCTCTAATCTCTTCTTGGGATTTTGGGCACACACGCACATGTGCATGGCATGTTTCCCAAGCTGCTAGGTCCAGGACTTGAGCCACACAGTTGGACATGTGGTGTCTACCTGACTCAACCACCACAGCACTGGCAAGCTTATGGCTAGGTTTTTCCAAAGAGGAGTCACCACTTCACATTTCTACTTCCTTAGGCACTTTTGTTTTAATTTTATTTTCAACTAAAATTTTATAGGTACATATTTCAAAGAGTCCAATTGTTCCTATGACCTGTTAAGAACAACAAGAATTCTTGTTTCATACTCACACACACAGGCCCTTGTGATGCCTATGGTGTAACAACGATCTTGTCTTACTACTTCTTGATTTTTCAGTGTTAGG